GCTGTATTCAAATCACCAAAGCAAGGTCATGAACTCTACAGACCTCTGAAGGTGTCCTTTGTATCAGACACCAAGATGTTAATGCAGCATATGCTTTAAGTCAGGCCAGCCTTCACTCCCCAAAATGCATCAGTAGAGCCTTGGGCATCTATGATCTCATCCTGAGTCTAATGGTTGTCTGTCCTTCTACCACTTTGTAACCAGTTCATACTGGGAACACCCCACAAGACCTGCTGTCTTGTAGCCAACACACACGTTGGCCCTTGTAAAACTTGTTCAGATCCTTACACTGCCCATTTTCCCTGTTTTCAACGCATCAGCTTCAAGAACTAACTTTTCTCCTGTTGTGTAATACACTCCACCCCGCTAACCGTAACAAGATAGTCAGCGTTATTCAATTCAGCTGTCAGTGGTTTAAATGTTGTGACTAATCCGTGTATGTGACAACAGCACGGTCAACTTGGCCAACAATAGCCAGCTCAGGTGTCTAAGAACAGAAAAATTTAGTGAGCAAATTACACAATAAATGGCTCGTTTAGTTATTAAGTCATTAAGTTAGTTAATTAGTTATTAATGTGTCTTTTAATTCAGTTGAGACAGATGAGTTGTACATAAAGGAACAAAACTTTCCAGTCTGGCTGCTTCTAGGACCTCCAACACATCCGCCACTAGATACGTTATATCCTGCACGCCCTCTATTCTTCTAGAAAAAAACAGGCCCGTTGTGAATTGGTGACTACCTGAGACATCTTTGTGAGTCCGTCAGTCTCTGGCTTGGCGCGCTGAACCTACACACCCACACACAGGTACGAGAATCTTGTTGAAAAAACTGCTCCCACCTCAGTGGGTGTAACTGGAACCACACTGACCTTTTTCAATGGGAAAATGAGGAACAACACCAATGCGTCACTGCAGATGTGTGGAGGATTGGATAAGAATCGATTAGATGTGCAGAAACGTCACAAAAGATGCAGGCGTTCTTAATTATGGAGCCACATTTGCAAACGACTTTATGATCTGTTCACACAATTTCCACATCTGTAGGTGCAGGGATTTATAGATTTGCATGGGGCTTTTGTTGTTGTTGTTGTTGGTGGTGGTGCATGATTTGCAGATCCAGCAGTGTGGTTTGCAAACTGAGAGATACAGATATACACATCACTCTGTCTGAGCCTAGAGGGCATCTGTAGTTTAAACAAAGAAAGAGGAGGTTTAAAAAAAACAAAGGAAAAAAAGGTAGGTGGAAATTATGCTATATAATAGATCTTTTATAGGGAGAAACTAGGAAGAAAAACTTCAAAATTTCTATTAAAAATACAATATAAATGGTATATATAATTTAGGAATACCCATCCATCCATTATCTATACACCCTTTAGTCCTCACTAGGGTCATGGGGGGCTGGAGTCTATCCAAGCTGACTTAAGGTGAAGGCAGGGGACACCCTGGACAGGTCACCAGTCTATTCTTCAAGTTTTACAGGGATGATATGTGTAACCATCAGAAATTAGCTATATAGAAAGCGAGATCATGTCTTTAAAAAAAAAAAAAAGAAAACACCTCTAAAATGATCAAGGACCCTACACTAGAAGCATGCTGCATTTAACATATGGCTTCCTATTAAAAGACCTATTATCCAGTAGCTTGTCTTTTTATATGTAAAATTAAGCTTCAATCCAGCATTTTCACCTTCTATATGAGATTCAGCCATCACAAGAGCTCTAAATAAATAATGTCACTTTTGCAAACTATGAAATTGAGATGAAAAGCCTTCAAAGCTGCTCAGCTGAAGTCACTAAATCACAGAGTGATAAGATCAGAACTGGGTCACTGAGTGGAGGCTGAGTGCGATACCTTCATCCTGCTGCAACTTTATATTGACTGAAGTTTGAAAACGTGTCTTGATTGCCTTCTAACTTGGCTGGCGTCTGATAATCTGACCCTGAGTGTTATGTGTTTAGCAAGAGGTTGTTGCGGTTTTCTCACACAAGTGCTTTCTCCCTCTTTGACCAGAAGGTAACAGACCCGACTCACCTATATCGGCTGCAGCATTTCTGTCGAACCTGGTGGCAACTGATACCAGGACGCTCTTTTGTGTGTGTTGGCAGGTCTGAGTGAGATTCATTAAAAGATAAAAATGTGGATGGAGGGTTCAAAATTATTTACACAACCCAAAACAATCCACCCTTTCACACAGATGTAGGCAGTGGTGGAAGAGGTATTCAGATCGTATACTCAGAGAAAAGTACCAATACAGGAATAGTCTCGCATGAAATAGCCAAGAATAAAATTTAGTTGATTCACTAAAGGGCTGCAAGGTGGCTCGGTGGTTAGCACTGTTGCCTCGCAGCTAGAAGGTCGCAGGGTCGCATCCCGGTGAGGACACCCGAGATCTTTCTGCGTGGAGTTTACATGTTCTGTAGGTGTGAATGTGAGTGTGCTTGGTTGTCTGTCTCTAAGTGTAGCCCTGTGATAGACTGGTGACCTGCCTTCACCCTGAGTCAGCTGGGATAGACTCCAGCTCCCCCGTGACCTGAGTGAGGCTTAAGCAGTGTATAGATAATGGATGGATGGATGCTTCGCTAAAATAAAAGTACAGGTCCCTTTGGTCCCTCTGACAAAACTGTACTTCATTTATTTCTATTTCATGTGTTTTAAGACCAAATTGTGGCTCAGAGTGGGACGTTCATGCCACAGTTTTTACATCATTGTTGAGCAACAGTCCTTGTGCTACATGATGTAAAAAATTCAACTTCATTTTGCATACACGTCAGTCAGTTAAATGAAAAGCCAACATAAGGCATCTTAGTAAAGTGTTGTCATGAGCTGCCAAAACAGCTTCAAAAAACATTGATAAGATGAAACTTTATTAATCGAAAAGGAAATTCTTTTGCCAGATATTGCTCAGAAAGCAAAACTACATAAGAAACGCCTAGTAGAAAAGCAATACGCTGTTAGAAGTATCACAAAATAGGTTTTTTGTTTGAGTAATCGTGGTTGGCTGGTTGTCCAAGGATGAAATGTGTACTATCCATGTATACATTACATGACATTTAAAATATAATGGTAATATCAACATTTTCTGACCTTGAGTTTGACCTTGAAATATCACCCAAGATTAAACGTCACATCCCCAGTAGGTAGCCTGTATATGGTTTCCAATATAAATGATGTGAAACTTGTGATCTCGGGTTGACCTTGAAATATCATCCAAGGTCAAATCTAACATCCCCAATAGAAAGTCCCAGCATGGTTGCTTATCTGCACCAAATACCATAAACTTACCTTACACCCTTTTGAAGGTATACAGCATTTATGAAAAAAGTGACCCTTGACCTCTAGCGAGCTAATTTTTGCTCTGATTGACCTCAAAATCTAACCATTCTGAGGAGATGCCATTCCTAGCTCACCTGTAAAATGTCAACTTGTTACACCTTAGCACTCAAGCTAGAGACTACTGATAAGGTCACAAGGTAGTAACGTAATATCACACAGAAAAATGACATGCTGCACGTGAAAAATGAAGAACTGCACATGAAAATGAAGTATTACACATGATACTTGAAGTGATATTGCAGTGATAAAGCAATATTGCAAATTACATTGATATCAGCATCCAATGTTTCGGCTGTCGTTCTGTGCTGCACCACGGTGGTCTCAGTCTACCGCTGCTCTGATGTGACACCTGCAGGAGATGAAAGGCTTCATCTATAATACTGAGCAGATTCCTCAGCGTCCTCCACCAAAGACTAGAGCACCATTACCAGGACAGAACCAGCTTCCCTGATTATTGCAGAAGATGACCACCACCGAGTGATACAAGATCTGTGGCATGGTTTTGCAGACCTTGAAAGATTTCATCTTCCTAAAGAAAAGCAGGCGGCTTTGATCTTCTTTTGCACAGAGTCTCACATCATTTTCATCATTTTATCAAATTATTCAGCGACCCTTCGTGCCCCATTGATGGGAATAAAACTCCAATAAGGTTAGAAATGTTTCACCATACAACACAGATAACCCAAACCATGCTATCAAAACACCGCCCACTGCATAACCTGGCTGCATATGCTGTGTATATTATAAAACCGACCTTTTCAAAATGATTATAAAGTTTCAAATAACACCATTACACACTGTAAGTTATGACAAATGTTTTGAGCTTTAATTCATTGATTTTTAAGAGGTTACATAGTAGTAAACATACTGGTTACACGCGTGAAATTTGATGAAATCATCCACTCAAGCCACATGTGCGTTTCACACCTCGCCCTCATCTGTTCAGACTTTCATAGAAAATAAAAAGCTTCTTCAATCCTGCAGTTTAGCGTCTCCGCGGCACAACGGAGAGTCAGATCACACATCACCGTCACCATCGTTCACATCCTGCGGTCCACAGCAGCACAACCTTCACTGTTTCTCACTCAGTCTGGAATACTTTAAATAGTCATTAGTCCAGCGTTAAAGCCCCCCTCCCTCCCCCCCAAAACTTCCCTTGTGTCAGGCCAACCGGTGAGAGTTCACATCGAGCACCACAGTAGCTCTCACGGCTCCGAACGTCGATGAGTTTTTTTGTTTTTTTGGTGGTGCTTTTTTTTAGGTCTATTATTTTTTTTAAGAAAGTACACTGGACGTGGGAGGAACTAAAAGAGTACATTGTCTTCCTCGTTTTAAATCAAGTAACCCAAGTAGACAGACTTCAAGTAGAGTATGGAGTATGCATATCTTACATCCCAACCTGGTCGCCTCGTGACACCAAGTGGGGGTAAATACAATGTGAATGCCCGTGAAAAGAAAAATCAAAACGCTAACAGAGAGAATACGACGTAATGAATTCAACTAAATATAGAAAAACGCTACGACAAAATCAAATGTTAACAGCATTTCAGAATATGAGAAAAAAAAAACCAAAAAAAAAAAACAAAGGACACAGAAAATACATATCTGCCTCTCCAATAGTAAATAGAATTAGTGCATCATTATTACATTTTAATATCGACTACATAGAGCATGTAGCAACATACAACTGAATGGAAAATAAAAAAAAAACAAAAGAATCTCTTGTGTTCTATTGTTTCTACTCAGACACTCACGTCCGACATGAAGCTCCAAAATGCATCAAGAACACTTTATCAACGCTACATTTGTTGAGGCAAACAGGGCTAGCTAGCAGAGATCTGAATGTGCGTACTGGTAGGAGTATTTATTGGATCCTGTTCGTGAGTCCAACAGTGACGGAGCTTCCAAAGCGACGTATCTAAACTGGTGTAGATATATGGCTTTGGTTCCAGAGAAGCAGGCCGGAGTCGGTCAACCCTCCTGTTCTGTTCAGCCTTCGGTAGACGCAAAACCATATATCATAATATCAGATTGGGTAAATAATACTCCTGAATTGGATTATTTTGACATGTAGTCCCATATTTTTTGATATATGGTTTTGGTTCCAGAGCAGCAGGTCAGACAGCTTAGCTAATGCTGCCACCTGCTGGTGGTTACGAGCTACCTTCAAATGATCTGCTCCAGGTACAGGTGGGTGGAAGGAAAATGGTTCATGAGGTTCGAAAAGGAAAAAAGTTCAGGCACGTGACTTACAGGTCGATCCACACCTGGGCAAAAACATCTGAGAATGTGTTACAAGAACCTTAAAATCAAAGAATAATACCAGTGTTGTAGCTTATTTACTATTGTCTGTCTAATCATTTCGCCACAATTGCTCATTTAAATCAGATTTTCAACACTGAAATCATGTTAAAGGCAAAAGCAGCCTGAATGATTGGCACAAACAACAAAAAAGAATAACACACCGGTATTATTCTTTAAACATGAAGGCATTGGCCATTTAAGAGAAAGAAAGTGCTATTTGTGTCTTTGCATGGAGTCAATACGTGTTTAGCTCCTCGCTGTTTTCTAAATTAGGAGGCTCTAGAGCCTCGCGGTTAAGGTCACAGTACTTTGTTACATTGACCGTGTATCGTGGTGGAGGATGTTGGTGCTCTGAAGGAGTAGAGTGTAGACACAGGACGAGAGAAGAAGGAAAAGAGGAATTAAGAAGCAGTAAAGAGACTCGTTGCGGGGGGTAGACACAGAGTGAACCCCGCACGAGAATCACGTGACAAACTGACATGACGAGTCAAACTCTATCAGATCAAATGTCAACCCAGCTTAATCTGAACGATACCACATGACTCATCCCTCCCGCTAAACACATTCCTTCGCATTCCCCGTGCCGATGTCTTCCTCGTTCCTCCACTATAACAGGTCGGGAAGGTGGCTGTAGACCGAGTCCAGCAGCGTCTGACTGGCCTCTTGACTCTTGACTCCGGCGATCTCAAAGAGTCGGTCCAGCTTGTCCTCGGCGGCCGGGATCTCCTCGATGACGTGCAGCTCCTCCGGGTTCAGGATGTGCAGCATGTCGTCGAAGATGGGCTGCAGGTCGCACGGGTCCAGACGCACCTGCCGGAGCACCGTGTCTTTCTTCTCTGCAGGGCGAAGCAGACAGAAGAACATCATTAGGCTTCTATTTACCTGTGTTACCTTGAACTCAGGTGTGAAGTGTGCCACAGCAGCTTGGCACTTCACGCTCAAGCTAGTTTTACTGCACCCGTTCAACAACTTTGATCATTTTAATTAGAGTTTGGTGTCATAATGAGTTTCCTGGCATTGATCCACCCTCCTTTCGCCTGACTAGACGATTGATCGATTGTGACATTGGTAGCCAAGCTAATAAACATGCTAACTGACAGCTTTGGATTACACCTAGTTTCCACAGCCTCCAAGTAGGGATGTCCTGACCAAGTTTGTTTTGATCCAGATCCAATCCAACTCATTCAATAGTTATTATCTGCCAATACCCAATACCCAATACCACTTTCCTAGATAATAAACACTTCTAGTATTGTATTGTAGATTAGCAGTAGTACCTGGTTGCGCCACCAGGTTGAGTCTCCTACTTATGGCAAGCAGAGAGCATTGTGGGAGTTCAGTTAGTAAAGGAGCACAGTGATAGAGACTTGTATGAGGCTTATTAATGTCAGAATAGCAAACAATCACAATAAAAAGCTTCAAATCTTTGTGCTGTTCTTGTAGTACAATATGCACATTCACACAGTAGACATGACAGAAGTAGCCAATTGTAGCTTTGAACTGTTGTCACATGTACCTTATGTGGCTTCTAGGGGTAAAGTGGTACCATTGTAGACCACTGTCCTGGAGCAACAGCATCCCAGCTCAAAGCATTCCTTTCTGCTTGTCTTTGATCACTACAAACATTTGTGTACAATGATATGAAGCTTTATATTACACAGTTATACTCTGAAATGAGAGCTAGGCCCCTCATTTCCAGGTGAGGAAGGCCAAGAACTTATCGAAGTACCCATAACACTTTCCTTTCTTTGCAAAAAAAAAAATGACGACTAACATTTGATGCTGTATAATGGGAGTTATTCTACTTAATTCAAGATGAGGCCGAGAATGTTTTGTGGTGCTGCTTTTTGCTTTGAGGAAATCCTGAATATGTTGGGCAAACCTCCAACACAGCAGTGGTCTACAAAGCAATTTTGAGCAGTACTGTGGGCTGTATTTCTGCTCTATGTCACTTTTATATGGATATGAGTCCTTGTGATCAAAACTGTTCATTAAAACAATGCAGAGGTAATATTTGTGTGTGTGGGAATTTTACTTTTTCCAATGAGACAGATGAATAAATGACCCAGAACTTATAAAACAGAAAGAAATTCATTTAAGATTGTCAATTGCTAGCATGTTTCAACTGTGAAGAGTGAAACCTCACAGCTGCAGCTACTGAAAGTACTGTTTCACACTTTAATTTGTGAAAAGGAGTTTACTTTTTGAATTTAAGCCATAAAATGCACCCATCAAACTTGATTTTCTTGTTGCACTACTTTGAGTCAGTCTTGCCTTTATCTGAGTTGGTGGTACAATTCATGTACGATAATAATCCCAAGAACACTGCTGTTGTGCCGCAGGAAAAAGTCTCTTAAATGTATAGGCATCTTCAATGGATGTCGTTGAAAAGCCTCCAAAAAAAATCCCGAAACATGCAATGAATTAAATTAGAGAGTATTTGTGTATAAATAAGCAATATTTGAGGGAAAAACTGGTTATTTTAGGAGTAATACCCAGAGTGACCACATGAGGGTAGTCATGAGCCACATATCAGAGTGTAAAGTGAGTTCAAGTCCTTTCCAACAAGTGTGCGGCACATTAGCAAGTGTCTGAATAATTTGTGTGAAGAATGTGAAACTGCTGATGCACTTACAAGCGACTGCCAACAAATCAGAATAATGATCAGTGTTGGCCACAGAAATCCCTCATCAAACAAAACTGTAGGGCCGGTGGGTGACTAAGGACATTCTTTTTTTCTTTTTATGAATTACTTTGGTGATTATAAACACCATTAACACGATCTGTTTTAACTAAGTTGGGCCAGCTTCAGATGTCATTACAGTATAGGTGTCCTCATATTCTAAGTTTCCCTGCTGACACCTGTTAAACACACTTGTTGCCTGCAGAAGCAGCTCCCATAGCTTTGAACTACAGCTGCATTCAGAAAGATTTGAAAATGTGTCTGTATCATAGTGACCCTCAAGCAGGATGCAATGGAGAACACAGTGGATTTTCCCTGTTTACCAAATGAAACTCTGACTGGTACTACGACTCTGGGAAAAGTGATGAATCATATATTGAGTCAGACTCTTTCAATGACACATTTTACATTCGTCACCATTTGAGTCACCTTGGGGGACAGAAAGTTGGGGTTTTCAGGGATGTAAGATAGACTGGACTGAACTAGACAGTTTTTATGCATGTAGTGAAGTAACACTGTGGTATAGATATCAGGATCGATGACCAGTTTAGAATCCTCAAACAACCCTTTGAACCTCAAAACCCATCGGTGGGTTTGAAAGGCCTGTTATTGGAAAAAAAAAAAAAAAAAGGCAACATTACACCATTTATAAGAACTAGAAACTACAAAAACAGAAAGAATTGTTGGATTTATAACTTTCCAATGGTTTTGAACTATTCATCTAAAACAAGGGTCTAGAATCCTGGTCCTGGAGGGCCACAGTCCTGCATGTTTTAGATGTTTCCCTCTTCCAACACACCTGATTCAAATGATCAGGATCATTGTCAGGCTTCTGCAGAGCTTGATGATGAGCTGATCATTTGAATCAGGTGTGTTGGAAGAGGGAAACATCTAAAAGATGCAGGACTGTGGCCCTCGAGGACCAGGATTGGATACCCCTGATTGAAAACATGCCATTCTGTAGGAAAGCTCAAAATCATGACATTGCATCAAAATTTATTTATTATGTATGTCAGGTTTTACCTAAAAAATTTGGAAAAAAATAAACAATTTCTAACATATTCTGTAAAAAAAAAAAAAAATTCTGCACTGCTCGCTGCAACAAAAAAGCCCCAAGTGACTCAGCTGCAACCAACGACAGGTGAGAAAAAATTTTAGGGACTTTTCGGCTGAACTGCCGGCAGAGTAGCAAAATATCTAAAGTATGCAGAGTTACCGTTTCATTTTCAGTATTGATAAAACCTGTGGGGACTTGGGGGAAATGCTGTAAGTGTATGTCTTATTTTGGGGGGGAAATAAATAATCAATACTTTTTTTTTTCTTCTCTAGATTTACGTCAATTGAATTTTGATTTTTTTTTTCTTCTAGCCATGGCTGTAATGTTTCCATGGAGGTGCATGATTTTATATTACAGTGAAAACTGAGCCCAGAGTGAGTAAAAATGAGACAGGGCCAAAAATAAAAAGACTTGGGGGACGGAGAATTGGGGTTTTCAGTGCTTCTAACTTCTCACTCTATCACTTTTTGTGTTTTAAATATGCATATATTGCTGTAAATAGCAATTTCTTCCAATAAAAGGGCAACTTATCTCCCGTCTTCCATCTTATTATTATACCAAACCTTTTAGCATTCGTCACTCTGGGTTGCACACAGTTGGCAACGCAATGGTCACTTTTATTCACTGTTCATCAAACAGCACTCCGAAGACACGGGGCTCTGTTCAACTCTACCCACAGCCTTCAATGCTAAATACATTTTGGGAAGCAATTTTACATTTCACCTGAGTCTAAATCAGTTCAAATTTGATTCTGGAGTCCAACACAGGCCAAGTAGAAGTTAGGTGATGGTTGAGCGAGGCGCCTCCTGTGTTACCTCTCACCTTTGGTAATGAAGGAGCCGTTCCTGCTGAGCGCGGAGTCTTTGCTGGAGGTGGAGTCGCAGCGAAGCAGCGGCTCTGACTCGTCGGGGAAGAAGCCTTTGGTTCGGTCCACCGGCGACTGCTCCACACCGCTGACCCGACCCACGCTGCCGCTGCTGCTGCTGCCGCCGCTGCCGCCGTTGCTGCCGAGGCTGGTGGGAGACTCGAGCGGCTTGTGGATGGGACTGAGGCTATGGCTTACATTCACTGAGGTCATCAGCTGGTTGATGTCAAACTGTACATATAGATGGAGAGATTGGAGGAAGAAGGAGGAAGAAAGGAAGAAAACAAGAGTCAAACATGTGGTCAACAACAATTCAGATATTTCAGATTGACATACAACTAAATACCAATTCAGGAAGAGTCCAGGGAAACAGTCAGAAGTTGAGTCAAACAGACATAAATGATTGGTTGATATATGCAACATGTGACTAAAAAACAACCTCATAAACCACTCGAAGTGCATCGACATTACAAATTTCAACAGAAAGTTACAAACAGAATATGTATCTGTAGCACTGTATCACTTTAAAATGATTCCTCCTTGTTCCTAGAGCAGTTCATTAACCTTCATCTGTTTCACATCCTTTTATAGTTTGTGTCCTTCCTTTTTTTTCCCTGTTCTGTCCTTTCGTCTTTGACCACTCAACCCTCATGCTGTGTTCTCACAGAAATATAAAGGGATGTTTTGTGAGATGGCCTCATTTACCTTCTTATCAATTTAGATGAGAAGTCTGACATGGTCTGACAATGAAAATAACACCAAGCGGCAACTACCACGATTTGAAGCTGAAGCTGCAGCTTTACCTTCTTTACGGTATTTAAATAATGACCCTTTAATGTCATTAACTAAACCCCTGAAAAGTTTCCTCTGCAACCATTTTTTGGCAAGAAAATGGATTTGCCTCTTAGCCTAGATGTAAATTGCCTCACTCTCCGATTAGTGGAGCCTGTCAGGGATGTGCGCAGTCTGAGTAAAAGGGTTGAAAGCACCACTCGGGTATGAAAAAGAAATCTTTTTTGTGCACGTTTTTGGAAATTGAATGGGTAATTGTATTATTTTGATATCATTTTTAATAGAAGTAGAGCTGGGCAGCATTTCTACTCATCAGAACCAGGCTTCACTTTGACATTTCAGTGAGACACAAAGACCAGTGTCATTACTATGCCACTAATAACCCACAGCTTCTTTGTGTCCTTTCATTTTTATCGTTAACTCTGTCTCTTTCCTATCATCCTCAGTCTCGTGTCTTTTCCCATTTTGTTCTTTATTCTGCTTCTATCTACGTGTCCCATTTGGTTTCTGTTTTCCCCCTCTATCTCCTCATCTTCCTCTGCCTCTCTTTATTCTCTCCTCCCACCTCCTTCCCTCACCCACTCTCTTCCACTCTCTCTAATGTGGTAATGAACCTGTGGTTTCAACCAGTAGTAACTGGTTTGGGGATGAGATCATGAGACCACGTCTTGTTTTTCACAGCGTGAGCCCCGTCGGGCCTAAAGGTCACAGCAGCACTGAGGTCGTTTCATTCACAAAACATTACAAATTAAATTTAACTGGACTATGCGGTTAACTTAAGAAAAAAAATCCAGTTTTCCTGCTCTGGAGAATTCAGTCTGTTATGACGGCACAAGCAGGACGTGACACAGAAACACCAGCACTGTTCTCTTGTGTTTTTTTCTGTTTTCTGTTCCATAATGTCTGGGTCGCTGCTCGCTGCTTACGTGGTTCTGACACAACAAACACACTCTGTTTCGCTAACAAAGGCAAGCTTACATATATGCACAGCGTGACAATGACACATTGACTTTCGCACAGCAGCAGACAAAAATGGAACAGATATTTTTTTTTTAAGGGCAGATGCAGAAAAACACCGAGACCCACGAGGGATGATGAATGCAGCAGAGTCTGGGGACAGGAAGTCATGCTTGCAAAAGCACACAAGCTCGACAAATCTGACTCTCAAATCTGTGACGCAGATCTAAAGTTCTTGTGGCTGCTGGTTTTCAGTCGTCTTGGTTCAGTGTTCAGCTTCTCCGTTTGGTCTGTCAGGGTAATGCCATGCTGGTACACGAACAAGACAAAACGTTTCAAAACACAAATCATTTAAAAAGAGCTCTAATGGGGGAAGACAAAGCCAATGAAGCTGTAACGTTATACCAGTTTTTGAATGTGCAGGTTAAGTAATGAAACTTTAGTGGAGCAAGAAGTTTGATATTTTACTGAAATGTAGCTCAAAACATCATACAGAATTACCCTTTGGAAGTGAATTATTTATCTAATCTTAATCTGTTCTTACATTTATATGCACATAGGTTATGAACCTTGAACCTAGAGTAGCAGTGGAATATGAGGACACATCTACTCTTTCAAGGGTTTTTCTATATTTCTAATATTTTCTACAAAGTAGAACAATGCTGAAGACACCAAACCAAACACATAACACAAAGGGAGTTATGTATAGTGAAAATGCCTTGAAAACAGCTTTGCACACTGTAGACAATACTCTAATCAGCTTCCTGATGGCATCATGTAGAATAGTTTCAAGGTAAACGCCCCGTATGTTTTGTTTTTTTAAAATCACAAAAAGGTCTTTGTGCTGTATCACATTGAGCACAACATTAAAACTGCGGAAGGCGAACCGACAAACATTGAGCATCTTGTTTAATGCGATGTTCTGCTGGGAAATCTTAGATTCTGGCGTTTATGTGGACGTTACTTTGACACATACCACCTATCTAACCATTGTTCCTGACCAAGCACATCCTCCCCTACAGTAAGAGCCCTCCCAGATGGCAGTGGCCTCCTCGCCACATCACGAAAGCTATTCTGGAGGAGCTCGAGGAACATGACCAAGAGCTTTTCCAAGAAGAATACTGATGATCAGTTATTCTAACTGGTCTGAATGGTACCTTAACAGCTTGACAGATTACCTATTTCTGTTAGGTTGCAACCTTTATAAGCTACCGCTACATAGCCAACTCACTTACAAGTCTAGATAGATAGATAAGACAAATACGAAGAAACATTCAAGTTCAACATCAAACCTTCGTTGCTAAAAGCTGCCTGGAGCAGGAGAAAGCAACATCATGTTAAGGCTTGTTCTGCTTCTATTTCTATCACCTCTTTTCTTTGTAGGCAGTGCTTTTAATATGACTGACTGAGAATTTGAAGTTGATATCCTGATGTTTTGCATGTTGGGACACCGTCTTGTAAGGAATGCGCTCACCTGCTCGGGTGTTTGTTTGACCTAAAAGTTGGTTAAATTGGTCTAATCTGATATAAAGGGGGAGAAGGAAAGAAAGGGGATTGTACTGGGAGTAACTACATCGCAACTGTATCTTGCCAAATAAGCACTGTGGCTGCTACTTCAACACTTAAACATAGTTGCAGGCCGTGCAAATCAAAACCCTGTTGCGACACCACTTCCCAAAACCTGCAGCCCTTCCCAGTAGGACGATATGCCCCACCATACCACAAGAACTGGTCCGGAACAACTCGAGGAACAAGACAAAGACCCCACAGTGTTGATTTGGCCTCCAAACTCCCCGTATCCCAATCTGGCCGAGCATCTGCTTGACGTGACAAAGCCCAAACTCACAACCCACAGAATCTGCTAACAATTTCTTGGTACCAGACACCGCAGGACACCTCCAGAGGTCCTGTGGCAATGGCCCAATGAGTCAGAGCTGTTTGGCAGCACGAGGGGGCCTACATAGAGCTAATATTTAAAACCTGTGCTTCTAAATGAGCCATCAGGAATTTCGTACTGTTGCGATACCACGTATACACCCTAAGACATGAACCAAACATGACCGACCAGACCCATCATTCAACCTTTTGGGGTTTTTTTGTTATTGCTTTTTTTGCAGGAAGTTTCGGCTTTCTCAGACACTAACAAAGCACATCAAAATGTTCTGTTTCTTTGGCAGCCAGAGCAAACACGAGAGTCTTGGGAAAGCTCCAGGTGACAACCTCATGAAGCAAAACAAAAGGTGGCTACTTTCAAGAGTCTAGCCACCAGCTAAACCCGCTTTATCCTGCAGAGGGTCGAGTGGGACTGGAGCTTATCCAGTGGAAAAGAGCAACAGGGAGAACAAGAAAACTCCCACACACAACCGACGAGCAGGTTGAAAAACCTCTTGATTGGAGTCGACCACTGCACCTCCGTTCATCATTTGAATTTTACACACATCCAAGGCTTGAAAGACCTCCAGCTGCTAGTCTTTGCAGAAAATTAGTGTAACATTTATTTATTTTGCAACCTTCTGACCTTTAATTGTGTCTCTGCGCTGTATTTAAACGGATTAAAACAGCAGGTTAGAGTGCATGCATGATGCATACACTCAATTACACGGCGCTGACAAACGTCACCAGCCCACTGCTATGAGAACAGTTTGTCCCCCTCGCTGCAGCATCACTGCCCACCCAAGTAGAGCCACTCTTTTCTGAAGGCACCGCAAGACCACACGGAGTCTCCTTTTCCTGAAGCTGGCGGCCCGTGACACAGCAGAGAGGTCACTGAGAGGAAAGAACAGTGTTCCAGAAAGCTCCCCGGACTAATGCGCGTGTGAGAGAAAAGACGAAGCTGCTGACGACCGAAACTGTCAACGCAACAGGACGGCCTGCTGGGGACGGGATCGCACTAACGCCACTCCTCGTATGTGCACACACGTGCAGACTGAGCCAGCTCGCCTCTACTTGGCAGAGTTGGCAGATTGCAGTGATATGAAGGACGCAGGGGACATGCACGCACGTTGGGAATAATTTCATTAATTAGATGAAACTCGTAACAGCAAAGAATCTCACCCAGCTGTAATTACTCCCAAAACAGATGAGCTGCTCGCTAAAATGCACCTACAACGGCGAAGCATTCTGTGGCGTCACGTTCAGCCTTTACCACTAATTTATCTACAGTATGACATTTAAAGTAGATCTGCAGTGGATAAGCCTGCTCCCCAGACTGCATTAAAGCACACTTAATGTCAAATGCACTCACAAACACATGCAGATAGTCTCCCCGAGTCGTCTTTAAATGAATCAGTACAGTTTCTGGGAAATTTTTTGTCCTTTTCCCCCAGAAAGTAATGGATGTGGTTTCATTTTATTATCTTATGAGGTCTGTTATGGAAGGGACTGAAAGGCGTCTAACGGGATCTTAGTCATAAACACTCAATTAGGGCAGAAATTGCATTTGATTGTGCCTCATTGTGGCAGGAAGGGGGAGAAAAAAAGAG